GGCAGACACCCTTTCTACCGTTAAGGCTAGGCTTAAAACTTTCCTTTTTTTTTAAAGTTTATAGTAAGAGTGGCTCAGGTTTTTCAGAACTGTCTCTATAGTTATGCTGCTATAGGCTTAGTCTGCTGGACATACAGTAGGTACACATTTTTCATCATTCTACTTCCTTCTATCTCTACTCTCCAACTCTGCAGACTCTGTTAGTTCAATCTCTAACCTTATGCTCTCTCTGCTTCATCTGGTCTGTTCCTGTTTGGCTGTGACACCATCCTGGAGAAAAATATCAGCTCTGCTGCTGCCATCAACAGCTTTGTGTATAGATGGTGGATTTTGGCCTGTTTTTTTAGTGTAATCCTGTTTCTCTAACTGTGACTGGCTAGATGTGCTCTTCTCATCCTCTGACATGGGAGCTGGCTCTGAGCTCATCTGCCTGGCTGTGTGTTTTAAAGCCGGTGCTACTGAGACGGCGAAGGACAGAAGAAATCTCTACTACAATGAATGTCTGATTGAGTTGCTTTTATACCCAAACCAGTGTGAACCCTTAGCTAAATTTAACTGCAAGAGCCACCATTCACCCAATCACCAACATAGTGACTTTAGAGATATTTAATGCAGAACTTCAAAAAATCTCACATGAAAATGTAAAAAAAAAAACGAAATAGTGAAATTAAGGTAAGTTTCAGTTAAGACAGTTTAAATGTATAAAAGTCCATTTTGGGGTAAGTTCACTTTATCTTTAACGGTCTGCTCTGTTCTTTGGTTTGCATCATTTTTTCCCCTTATAAACCTCTGAGCCTTTCATAGAACAACTAGATTTACAGGTATGAATAAAACAAAGACTATTGAGAATATATTCATAAAACTGTGAGAGTTTATCAAATGGTGAGCATGAAATACAAAGAATATTCATAGAAAGTTGAGTAGAGTGGAAGAGCGGTAAGAAAAGCTGCAGCAGCGACTAGTATAAAGGCAGCAATGTGGGGATCTTCAAGCAAAATAAATTCAATAATGTGGGTAACTCACAAAGAACATGGTCCCACTGCTTGAAGTCCAAAGAGATGTTTCTAGTCAGTGGTGCTTTTAAGTCATCTGCTTATGATGGGCTGTTGCGTTTTCTCTGCAGTCAAATCAGCCATCTATACCAGGAAATTTTAGAGCACTTCATGCCTCTTTTGCGGAAAAGAACTCAGCAGCTACCCACAGTCCCAAAGGTACTAAATGCTGGTTGAGTGAACAAGCTGTTACTATGCTTGATGGATGGCTATCCGGCCTCACACCATTAGAGATTATATGTGATGTTGTCAAGAGGAAGATGAGAGACACCAGATCTAATAATGAAGATGATCTGGAAGTAACCAGCGCTTCCATTACACCTCAGCACAACTACCAGCTGATTGTCTCTATTATGCAAAGGAATTAATGCATTTTTTAGAAGATGCTCAAAATATAATTTTTGATTGTACTTAAAGGAATAGTACACCCAAAACATGATTAGCCTTCATTTTCTACTCACCCCCATGCTGAACAACACTCTGGAGTACTTTTTTGATATCTCAAATGCATCTGGAGATCTGGGAGGCTTCTTGCTGTCTGCTGACATTCAAATAATGGAGGTCTATGGCGCCCGAGACAGAAAGGTCCATAAAAGTCCACAAAAACGTGTCAATATTCCTCCATACTGCTCGTCCAATGTAATCCAAGTCTCCTGAGTGGGTAGCATCCAGAATTTACTCGAAACGAAGTCATTTAGAACGTTTTAGAGCCTAAACAGTAGTGTATAGGATTTCCTAATAGCGCCCCCATGCGCGCTCACGATTCTACGGAAGCCGGCAGACCAAACCAGCGCATTCAGCTCGGCAAAGAACTCATGCTCTTCCTCAACACTGAAGTCCTCAGACATTTTTCTTTCGTTGTTTCTTTCTTTGCACGGGTAAACAGCACATTTCTTCTTCTACGCTTGCATTATCGGCAGAGCAGACGCTGAATGCGCACTTTCTTCTGGTTTGGTCTGCCGGCTTCCGTAGAATCGTGAGCGCGCATGGGGGCGCTATTAGGAAATCCTATACACTACTGTTTAGGCTCTAAAACGTTCTAAATGACTTCGTTTCGAGTAAATTCTGGATGCTACCCACTCAGGACACTTGGATTACATTGGACGAGCAGCATGGAGGAATATTGACACGTTTTTGTGGACTTTTATGGACCTTTCTGTCTCGGGCACTATAGACCTCCATTATTTGAATGTCAGCAGACAGCAAGAAGCCTCCCAGATCTCCAGATGCATTTGAGATATCAAAAAAGTACTCCAGAGTGCTGTTCAGCATGGGGGTGAGTAGAAAATGAAGGCTAATCATGTTTTGGGTGTACTATTCCTTTAAGCAACATTATCATAATCTGAGACAAAGAAATTTGAATTTTTTATTACTGCAAACAGTAAAATCAAGTTTAAAAGAAACAAAGTGTTAAAATACTTTAACCTGTGAATTAGGTTTATATGATTTATGAATTTCTCATATTTAAAAAAGAAAACGTATAAAGAGATCCAATAAGAGAAGTTGGCCATTTAATATTGGGTTACTCTACTTGAAATTAATTTAAGTCTAACTAGAGAGAGAGGGGGGTACTACGTCTTCATACCTCTTTTCACACAATTTCCATTAAAAATGTCAGTTCTCTGGCTGTACATACCCACAGGTTTATTTGAAAGAGGGTTTGTGTTTCCATTTATTTTCATCCATCCCGTTTCTGACACACTTTATCCCACGCGGGGTCGCAAGGGGTGCTGGTGCTTATTTCCAGCTGTCTATGAGAGGCAGGGTACACCCTGGGCAGGTCACAGTCCATCTCAGGGCAACGAAGAGACAAATAAGGCAAACAACCATTCACACACACACACACACACACACCAAAGGAGAATTTAGAGAAGCCAATTAACCTAACAGTCGTGTTTTTGGACTGTGGGAGGAACCCGAAGTACCCGAAGAGAACCCACACATGCTCAGGGAGAACATGAAAGAACCTGGGGCAGGAATTGAACCCACAACCTTCTAACCTACCCACTGCACCACTGAGCAGCCTTATTTATGTTCAGGTGAATTCAATTTTTTGTGAAATTTCAGTTTGGTGTTAACCACTATCTTTTTGTGTGTATTCGGTTGTTTGTTTGAAATATTTTATAAAGTCGATTTATTTATTGTTGTTTCATTCATTCAAATCTAAAGGTTAGAAAGTAAAGGCCCAATTACATATGACTTACTTTTAAATATTAGTTGCAAAACATACATGAAAGCCATATAACAAAATCCTTGTTTCATGTTTCGATCATCCTGTCCCACTAAACATCAATGCGAAAACATTTAAGAAATGTTCTAGCAAATATTCACGCAAAAGCAAAGGATATTTCTATGGAAGAGGATTAGGAACAGTGAAAAAAAAAGTGAACTGATATTTAAATATTATTTCAGTTTAATATGGGAAAAAAATTCAGAATTCTGACTTTCTTTCCTCAGAATTATGACTTTTTTCCTCAGAATTATGACTTTTGGATCTTGATGTAGATGGGCCCCATGAAGGAAGAGATGTGGAGCACTCAGCTTCACTGACAAAGATGTGAGTTGTTTGGTAGGGCTAGTAACACATTGGTGGAAAATTACGGAATTAAGCGACTTTTTACGTGCCTGAGGGGTCCCCAGTGATGCTATTTCATTAATGGAAGAGCAGAAGGTGATTAAAACAAGAGAGCTAGTTTAGTCACTAAAACAGACATGGCTACGGCTTGATGCTAACATGTTTGTTAGCTGTCAGAATTCAGTCAGAATTCTGCGATCAAAGTCAGAATTCTGCGATCAAAGTCAGACTTCTGAGGTCAAAGTCAGACTTCTGAGGTCAAAGTCAGAATTCTGAGATTAAATTTAGAATTCTGAGGTCAAAGTCAGAATTCTGAGATTCAATTTAGAAATCTGAGATTAAAGTCAGAATTCCGAGATTCAATTTAGAAATCTGAGATTAAAGTCAGACTTCTCAGGTCAAAGTCAGAATTCTGAGACTAAATTTAGAATTCTGAGATTAAAATCAGAATTATGAGAAAAACGTCAGAATTCAGACTTTTTTCTTATATTATACAGAAATAAAATTTAAATATCAGTTAACTTTTTCAATTTTTTTCAGTGGCCCTAATGCTCTTCTGTATATTTCCTTAGACATAAAAAAAAGAAATTCAGAACCATAATTTGCTTTTCAAACCTGCTCATCATGCACCAGCTGTCAAAAGGCCAGCCTTTTCCCTCTGTGAAGGAACTGAACCTGATCTGATGGGACTCCTGCCTTAATGACAGATAATCCAGAGCAGCATCACAGTATGCTTTAGCTTTTTCTATAAACAAGTTAACAAGATTTTTCCTCGCTAGACGGACAGGCAGATGATGTGATGATTTCACAGCCCTATTAATAGTGATTAAAGTGTGCCTCCTTCTCCAGACTGACTGCTGCTTCTGAATGATCTCATACTATGATCTGATTCAAGAAGAATCCCTCTGTTCTCTGCGTGTCCAGCTCTGATCCTGCTGCTGCTGCTGCTGATGTGTGGAAAAACGAGAAAGGGCCAGACACGAAATACATGAACGCTGCAGTAGGGTTTCCCCTCATCACTCGAGACAAACACCGTGTTTTTCTTACGACTCCAGGGGGGATTTCTGGTACATTGGGGGGAAAAAAACACAGAACCAAGGCCCGTTTTTCTTTCTGCTTGCCTGTATGTCTGACTATGTGAGGAGTTGGATTAAAGATCATGAAAAAAAAAAATGCCGCCCCTGGACATAACAGCTTCCTATTTAGCTGTAAGTTAGCAAAAAACACGGATCTAATTAAAAAGAATATCACCTCCTTTAAATGTATAGCTAGCTGTCATCAGTCTGAACAACCTCCTCGCAGCGGTTTAGATGTTATTTTAATAAATATTACATATAAACCGAACATTTTATGTTAAAGGGCTGAGCACTCACCGATAGAGCTCCCCCTCGGCTGGCAGTACTGTCCTCCCAGCTACATGTTCCTCCTCATCTCCGCCCGCCGCCCTTTAACATCCACAGCATGAGCTTCCCACAATCTGCGAAACAATACAGCAGCAGCCAATCTATGTAGCGCAACAGCTGATGCTATAAATAGAAATGCCCAGAGGGGTGGACGGGGTTTTTGGATGAAACATTTGGCTCCGCAATGCTGTTTTTTCTTTTACATAGAATTATTTGAATGCTCCTTATGCTTTTTATTGTTTCTTGATGTTGGTTGCTGCTTTGGTTGTTTCAAATAATTTAGTTCATTTAACCAAAGCGCTGATACATCTCCCCCTTTTTGTTAGCAAAATGGTCCGTTCCCTTCTATAGTGGACTTCTTTAAAGAGATAGTCCGGATAAAATAAGCGCCCCTTTATATACACTATATTGCCAAAAGTATTTGCTCACCCATCCAAATTATTGGAATCAGGTGTTCCAATCACTTCCATGGCCACAGGTGTATAAATTCAAGCACCTAGGCATGCAGACTGTTTTTACAAACATTTGTGAAAGAATGGGTCGCTCTCAGGAGCTCAGTGAATTCCAGCGTGGAACTGTGATAGGATGCCACCTGTGCAACAAATCCAGTCGTGAAATTTCCTCGCTCCTAAATATTCCACAGTCAACTGTCAGCTGTATTATAAGAAAATGGAAGTGTTTGGGAACGACAGCAACTCAGCCACGAAGTGGTAGGCCACGTAAACTGACGGAGCGGGGTCAGCGGATGCTGACGCGCATAGTGCGAAGAGGTCGCCAACTTTCTGCAGAGTCAATCACTACAGACCTCCAAACTTCATGTGGCCTTCAGATTAGCTCAAGAACAGTGCGCAGAGAGCTTCATGGAATGGGTTTCCATGGTCGAGCAGCTGCATCCAAGCCATACATCACCAAGTGCAATGCAAAGCGTCGGATGCGGTGGTGTAAAGCACGCCGCCACTGGACTCTAGAGCAGTGGAGACGCGTTCTCTGGAGTGACGAATCGCGCTTCTCCATCTGGCAATCTGATGGACGGGTCTGGGTTTGGCGGTTGCCAGGAGAACGGTACTTGTCTGACTGCATTGTGCCAAGTGTAAAGTTTGGTGGAGGGGGGATTATGGTGTGGGGTTGTTTTTCAGGAGCTGGGCTTGGCCCCTTAGTTCCAGTGAAAGGAACTCTGAATGCTTCAGCATACCAAGACATTTTGGACAATTCCATGCTCCCAACTTTGTGGGAACAGTTTGGAGCTGGCCCCTTCCTCTTCCAACATGACTGTGCACCAGTGCACAAAGCAAGGTCCATAAAGACATGGATGACAGAGTCTGGTGTGGATGAACTTGACTGGCCTGCACAGAGTCCTGACCTCAACCCGATAGAACACCTTTGGGATGAATTAGAGCGGAGACTGAGAGCCAGGCCTTCTCGTCCAACATCAGTGTGCGACCTCACAAATGCGCTTCTGGAAGAATGGTCAAAAATTCCCATAAACACACTCCTAAACCTTGTGGACAGCCTTCCCAGAAGAGTTGAAGCTGTTCTAGCTGCAAAGGGTGGACCGACGTCATATTGAACCCTATGGATTAGGAACGGGATGTCACTTAAGCTCATATGTGAGTCAAGGCAGGTGAGCAAATACTTTTGGCAATATAGTGTATAATATGGGAAGAAATATAGTTTTTTTTCTTCTTTTTTTTCAGATATTCCTAAATCAAATGTTCATCCTAACCCATAGGTTTCACCAGCTGGTGGCGGTATAGCGCCAACTAGCTGTTTGTCAACCGCCAATAAACAGAAGACCTATCTTTTTTGTCTGTTTGATTTTAAATAAGTTTTAAAGAACCTTTTTTTTACATTTTGAAATACAAAAAGATACCAGTTAATTACCATAAAAAACCTGTAAAACTGAGATTATATATATATATATATATATATATATATATATATATATATATATATATATATATATATATATATATATATATATATATATATATATATATATATATATGTATATGTATATATAATCTCAGTTTTACAGGTTTTTTATGGTAATTAACTGGTATCTTTTTGTATTTCAAAATGTAAAAAAAAGGTTCTTTAAAACTTATTTAAAATCAAACAGACATATATATATATATATATATATATATATATATATATATATATATATATATATATATACATATATATATATATACGTATATATATATATATATATATATATATATATATATATATATATATATATATATGTCTGTTTGATTTTAAATAAGTTTTAAAGAACCTTTTTTTTACATTTTGAAATACAAAAAGATACCAGTTAATTACCATATACATTGAACGATTCTAGATTTCACAATTCTACATCAAATCTTATATGAATGTATTCCAAAATACATCACTTTTTTTTATCAACAGGGGTGGTAGTCAGAGTTCAAGAATTCAAAATTAATATAGGGAGAAAACTAAAGGCTTAACTTTTCTTACAGCAGAAATTATTGCATTACTCCTTTAAGTAGAGTGGATTGAGAGGACCAGACCATTAAAAAGCTGGTGTTTCAAGCCAGATTTAGGTTCACCATTAAAAGCTTTGATATAACCTTAGAAATTTAACAAACATGCTACATTCAGATGATGGGGTTAACAGTGGGGTTCTTCTGAGTTCCTGCTTGTATTGGCTAAAAGAAATAAAATGGCACATAAGAGGGCCAAACAGTCAACAAAGTGCAATGATAAAGGATTTGTATCAAAAATAAAATCAGAGGTTAACTGTGCTATTGAAAGAAAAAAAAAGAAAAAGACCATATCAGTTGAAAGCAGATATGAAAGGGGAACGGCTCAATAAAACACAAAGAGGAAAGGATAATAACTAGATCACTGTTGGGGCACACAAGAATTTATTCATTATTACAAAAAAAATGGAAAACATGAAACAGGAAGATGTGAACTCTGTAGCGGAAAGTAAAACACAGAGGCAGGGAGGCTCAAAGGTCCAAATACAGAAACGGATCAGGATCAGATACTATAGAAACGCTAGTGAAATCTCAACACCAAAGGCCCAAGAATAATCTGGCACTGATGGCTGGGACCAATGAGTTAAAATAGAAGCAGGATCAGGTGGATCAGATGAGCAGGGATCAGGAACAGGGCAGAGCTAGACAGGTGAATGAAATGACCAATCAAGCCAGCCATCAGCACCAAAATCATGACAGTAGATATCTGTCAGCAATACCAGACACAATGGATCCAATTACTGAGGAATCCTAAAAAAGAAAAGGAACACTATAATATTCTATATATTTTAGGAAAATGTATTTTTGATATGAGCTATAAAAGCTTTTTTTTAATTGGTTAATGGATTGGTAAAGATATGTTTCCTTTTGTTTTTGTTTGTTTTTTTTGTTTTTTGGTGTTGATATCTGCTAGTTTCTTTTCTTCTTTTTTGCTTGTCCAGGCCCACAACCCTTACTTAGTTTGATGTTATTTGACAAACCAAATAAAAATCAAGGTAAATAAGAAGATGATGAAGAATATTCCAGCTAGAAAAGTTTCTGCTACAATATTGGAAAAACGGGGATCATCAGAGAAGAAATGTGTTGCCGCAATGTAATAAATTTTGTCTCAGATGGCACATTTATGTTATTCCTCACTTTTAATATTTTTCATTAACTGCACAAGTCAAATCTTTTTTGTTGAAGTTACAGATAATAATCTCGGCTTACGTATACTGGATATAATGAAATCATTCAAATACGTTCAAAACAATATTTTCTTTTAATCTTGAATTTGAACAAATGTAGAGAATTTTGGTTACTTTTACTGAACTAAAACAGGAAACGTTTAACTTGAATTAATGTCTAACATTCATAGAAAAGTGATGTTTGTTTTTACAATGCGCGTTTATATGTAGCTTTATCTACATATATAAATAAGATATTCTACTCTTTATATACCTACTTCAGTTTGACATAAAACCTTTCAAAGTGTGAAGATGCACAGGAAAATGAATTGATTTGATTTTAGATTTGCATATATTCACACCACAAAAACTAGACCCTGTTTGAAAGCAGTTTGAATCCATATGGACTTTACATCTGCCTGGCCATGTTCTGACAGATGCTACACTCTGAGTGACTTAGAGGTTATTAACAATACCTGCTTTTACCCACTTAAAAGAAGTGCTTCCCTTAAACCTTGGTAATTATGCGGTTGTTTGTCAGCAAGAACTGAACAGTTGCTTCAAGCCACAAATGACTGGAGAGAGACACTCAGTAACGTTGCTCCCTGAAACATGCTAATACATAATTCAAGCAAGCATTCAGTCGTTGGTTAGAATTTGCCCACTCAGCCTTTTATAAAGACATTCATGCGTAAATAAGAAGGGGGAGAAATTTAGGGCTACAAATGTAAAACACCAGCATCATTTACAAAGTAATGCCTATTTTACACCAATCTGACCGTTTTTAAGACTTGTTTTCATTGGTAACTATCAGAAGACACTATCACGATGTATGTGCTTTTTAAAATTATATAAAAGTAAAAGTAAAATGGCAACATGGGTCTTCACAAACACACTTGATTTCTGGTGTGACTAAGGTTATTGTTACTTTTTATCACGTCTATATCAATATGGCAAAAATGTTGTACAATTTATAATATGCCTAAACACATTTCATTTTAATTTGTCAGGCCAAACGGCACTTCATTTTTACTGTCTTCTTAATCTCTGATGTAGAATCATCTGTACATTTCTCTGTTAATCTTGATCTAGCAGGGTGATTTAAGCCTGCTTTCAGTTTATAACCATGTCTATTTGGATGTGTTGGTCAACCAATGATGATGAAAAATAACCGTTTTAAACATCATCCAGGACGTTTTGTTCATCCAGCACCAATTTAAGTCAGAGAAACATGGACACTTCCTTCAGCAGGTCCAGCAAAGGATGTACTTCCTACCCCAGCCTACAAGAAGATGGACCTGCATAAGGAGCTGCTGATCTACTTCTGCTGCCTTCATCTGTCATGAATCAGAACAGAGGACCCAGTATTTAGACAAGACAAACAGCAGGATTACTCAAAAAACGTTTATTGAAATAAACGGGTCTGTGATAACAGCT